GTCATGCAGATATGACGTATGGGGTGTTTTTTTTATTATTCATTATTTTTTTTATTTAAGAAATAGGGTTTTCTTCCTTCGGAAGCAATATCGTTCTTGCATTCCTTTTTTTTTCGAGCTTTGTAACCATTTGCTTTTAATTCGTGCAAAATGTTAGGTGATCAATCGATCTAGGTTATGTCGTCTACCTTGACTATATCGGAGGTTGAGACGACAATCCTAACATATATTTTTTGGTGATAAATATACCATTGTCGTGCCTGCAACCGATGTTCCGATTACTCAACCGACTGTGGGAAAGTAGTTATTTTCTTTAAATCTTTAAAGGTTGGACTTCGTCTTCCTTTGAGTTACTTTGTTATAGATGTTCTTAGGTTTTATCAAATACATGTTGCGATGTTGAAGCCTAAATGTGATAGGAATATTGGTTTTGTTTGAGATGTTGTTAAAGGAATTTAGTGTTCAAATTCGAGTTTCATAAACATAAAATTTTGAGTTTGCAACGAAAGGCTTTATAAAAAAAACCTGAACAACATAAAAACCCAAAAAAGATCACAATACATGTACATGCAAGATTTTAACAACCATAGGATAAAAAGAAAATAACCTTTGAAATTATTTAGGTCTCTCAGGAGGTTGAATGTTGATGAAGATGGTAGAACACAAGGAAGAACTCATCTAGAGGTATCTACTACAAGCTCCAACACTTGAAGAATTCTAGTTCACACTTGACCCACTTCAATCTCTTAATCTTGGAGACAAAAACGATTTTGCCTACCAAGAGAGGAATGGATGAAACAATAATCTTCAACGTTTCTATAGCTGTGAATGCATATTTTTCCCTTTCAAACATTCCTTTATATATGAAACTTGTTTCTCCCCCATTTGTTTGCTTAGAGCATCTCCAATGGTTGCAATATGCTATCACTTAAAAATAAGTGTCACATCGTCATACAGTTAATCTTCACCTCTAAATAAGTTACCACTCCAATGGTTAACATTATTTAAATAGTTTTTTTTAATAAATATAACTAATTTACCATTATCTATTTAAATTGTTTTATAAAACCTCCACATTTAATTAGTCATTTTTTTAAACACAAATAATATTTTAAGACGAACGTATAAATACAAATATATCGTTTCATTATTTATACACATAAAATACGAAAAATTATTATGTTATTGTTACAAAAATAAAATAAAAACATTGAAAATATTATACTATTGTCATAAAATTTATAATTTTATAAATGAGATGTCATAAATATTTAATAGGAATAATTAATTAGTAAATAAATAAAAAATATCTAGAACTAAATTATAATTAAAATGGTAAAATAAAATATGGTTAAAGTAGAAGGGGTTATAAGTACAAGTTAGTAAATTATATTGACCATTAAATATATATTGAATGGTCAAAATAAAAAAACAAATAAGCTATCAAATCCAATTGTATTAAGTGGTCAAAATAAATAAATGCATAATAATAAGCTATTGGAGATGCTCTTAGTGTTTTATGTCTTATACAAGAACTTATATTATTTTAAATATTTCAAAAGAAGCATCTATGGGTCGTGCTGAGCACGACCCTTACTGGTGTGTGTGTATATATATATATATATATATATATATATATATATATATATATTCTATGTTTAAATTATTTTAATTTGTAGGATGATTTACATTGATGTTAAATATTTTATCAAAAATAATATCATGCTCAAACAAGAAATGGACAGTAATGTATAAGAACTTGGGCTGCTTCATTTGGGCTACCATGGTGGAGTAGGGGGCTACCAGAGTTGTCTAGTTATATCACCATACATTACGGGTCGTGGTAACTGGACGCGGATAAATGTCACATTCGTACATTTTATTATTAATATAAAATACGAAGTGAAATGTTATAGAATGAGCTGAATTATCAAGAAATATACGACTTTTGACAAAATACGAAATAAAATTAGTATGTTACAAATGGTTATCGAGAAACCAAAGAACATCGATCGTAATCTTTATAAAAAGAAAGCAGGTTTAGAAAAGTTTCATATAACAAAACTAAGTTCAAATTTGATAGAAACATTGATAAAATAGCCTTAGGACTAGAGAAAGAAATTTTAAGAAAATTATATTAATCATCTGAAGCACTATTATGTTACAAAATTTTATTTACGTAAGACAAAAATGATATGAACATATGATTATGAAAATATAAATATGTAATTGATGAATCTTTCTATTGCTATATATAATAATAAAAAGTACGGATATACTAAGGTTTTCATCTTTGTAAACTTAAATAATATCCAAGGTCAAGATCAATGTCTTGACAAACTACCTGTTTACATTCCCACACTATTGTCAACTTGGTATGACTTTCTTTAAGTCGTGATAACATACACCTCACGAATATAGATGAATATAAAGATCTTTCAGAATTTTTTCTGGTTATAAATGTATATGGTTATTTGTTCAAACAAATCCTAGATCAGAGACCTAAAGTCCTAGATCAACCCTATTTTCTTTAACACACCCCTGTTGAAAAAATTGATAACAAAATTGATAGATCGAATGTTACAGGTAAAACAAACTTCTAACTTAAAATCATGTATGTACCTACATTCCTTTATACAAAGTACATGCATATAGACATTTTTGCATGTACAAATAAATGCTAAAGTCAAAAATTTTTATTTACTATTTAAGTGTAAAAAAATTAGACAAGTATTAAAAACTATCACTTAAACCACCATAGTAACAATAGGTAGGATTTAAAACTTGGCCTTCAATGCACAATGAGTCTAACTTGCCCCAACGAATCAACTTAGAACCGTAATGTATTTAACATTGTAGCTTGAATTCAAAACTAATTGCCTCGGTTTTATCTTTCAGTCGTTTGAATAATATATCACTATAACCTTATGTTTTCATTCTAACTTGAAATTGTTATTTATTTATTTATTTGCATATTTTTGTAGCAATTGGACATTGTTGTAAAATAGACTGAAATCATTGGATAATTATTATATTTAATCATATATATACAAAAATCAGTTATTCTATTGGTATAATTTTGTTTTGGTTCGTTAAGATATGTTTGGTAGGGCAATGTGGGTCTAAACCTAACCCATAAGGTCAATCTGACGGCCCATGGCCCAACCAACAATGTATTAACTCAACCAAATACCAATATTGACCATTTTTAGTGTTGACTGTGTGTTATAATGCTAAAACAGCAATGTGAAAACGTTGACTGGCTTGATTCTCACTAAAGTATATATCTCTTTAGACATATTTGTTATTTATATTGTTTTAGAAATACAATAATTCTATTTTAATATTGAAAGAAAAATTCCCTTTTTTTGGTATGTTTGGAGTGATGTGATCAATAAAAGATTTTCATTTTTATCTTAATAGGATATTTTTTTTTATATTGATATGTTTGACAACGAGTGTTTGAGAGCTTCTATTTTTTAGTTTTTAACAAAAAGTTCAATTCAAATTTTGAACAAAATACTTTATTTGACGGTACAAAAGTTTAACTTTTAGTTTAAACAAAAAACTCCATAATATAAAAACTATTTTATGGAATGTTTAAGAAACAACTATCGAGTATTTTTAATCAATTTTCAGAATTACCTTTAAATATATTTATTATTTTTAAATAATTGTGTAATTTTATACATTTCAAAAGTTTTTAACTACTTTTGCTAAACATTCAAATAACAAATAAAAACTAAAGCTTTCAGCTACCAGTTACTATTGACTATCAATTTTCGGTTTTCAGCTATCAGCTACTAGTTATTTTTGCCAAACACATCTAAAGTCGTTACTAAATTTAATGTTGAGACAAAATTGTGCTACTTTAATAATGAAATAAGTTATTATTAAGCAGAATTGTAAATATTTGACGAGCCTTGATATTTGCAGTGAATTATGTCGTCATAAATTTTATTTTAGACAATATTGAAAGTGATAACATTTTATATGGTCCAAAATTTTATTTATGTAACTGATAAATTTATATTTAAATATGAAAGTCAAAATCTGACGAATTATTTATGATATTAATTCCATTATGAAGTCTAGGGATAATTGGTCAAAAATGATATTTTACGAATCAACTTTGATAAAAGGAAAGTGTAAAAAGTAGAACTCCATCCAAAAAATTGTGAATTTAATCTCAAGCGTAGAACAGCCAGTTGTTTTGATCTTTGTTGCAACTGGATTTTGACCAAGAAGCAAGTCAAACAATTCTTCTATATATGGATATATCTTATATTTTGAAATAGCTAATTAACATTAAAAAAATTAGTCTGCATATTAACGTTTTCAAATTTTTTTAAATTATAGAATATTCATCAAAACTTAGCAACGTGCTAGTAAAACAAATGTATGATGTCATAAAAAGCTTCAAGTTTTCATGAAGTTGATGACTTTACACTTTGACGGGATTTAGGTTCGTTTATGCTGCATAATTGTCTATTTTTTTGTATTTGTCCCAAATAGCCGGTTGCAAGATGGCTTACCGGTTACCCGTCCACTGTAGCTACTTTATTGAGAAGGCCACATGGCCTCTTTGCCGACTATGTTAACCAAATGACGATCGTAACCCTGTTAGGAAGACGTTATACATATAGCTTCACACCGTATCACTCCAACATCAACTCTCTCGTAGTGAATCGTACATTCTACTGAGAAAATCTTGGGCTATTGGGAGAGATTCATCACGAAATCCGGGTATTTAAAGAAGATTAGGTGTACACTGTTGGTAGCATTGTTCAAGCAGAAAGAAATTTGGGTGATTATTGCGTTGAGTTGTTCAATCAGTAAGTATATCAAATCAATGATTAAAGTAGTTATCTACTTATAATCCTTCAAGTTTTTTTTGTAAAATATGTTTGATTTTGCAGGCAACTATAATGGCTTTATCATATGACGTTTAGAAAGAAACATTTGCTGGTATATACGAGCCTTTTTTTGGACTAAATGAGATGGATCTTGAGCTCCATGATATTTATATGGATCATGAACCAAAGCAGGAGTTTGTGACTTCACTTGATAAACGTAGGGACATCTTTCTCAATGTTCTACTTAGTGATGAAAACTTAAGGAATTCAAGCATGGCTGATGAAATCAGAGCACAAGTTTATCATGCTAATGAATGGCAAAGTGATGAAGAAGAGGCGGCGAAGAATAAGTATAAAATTCATGATCCAAACACACCATTGGACAAGATGGAACCTAAGGTAGGTGATATACTTTGAAACATGTGCTGGGGAAAGATTAGTTGTAAGATGCAGGAAGAGGACATAGAAGTGTTGTAAATCAAACTAATAGACACGCAAGGAAACCGACAAATAATATTGAGAATTATATGTCGATTAGTTGCGAATAATAAATCCTATTATTGTTATATTCACCAAGTTTCGTCCAAAACCAGATCAATCATTCACGATTAGATCTGATTATAAGAAAGGAAGAAGAAGACTGTCCTGTTGTTGGACGAAATTAAATGCAAGACAGAAAAGTAAAACCGACCTGTTGATGGTTGATCTTGAACTTGAAACAACTGCACGGATCAGACTCCTGTCCTTAAAGGTTTTTACTTCGCTTCTACTGGCTGTAAGCAACAGAGTAAAACCCCATGATTTAATGCAGATCTATCGATCTTCCAACAGCACTGGAAATCGACAAACACAAAGCGAATACTCGGAAACCAGGAAAAAATGCAGAGAGTGGGAGAGAGGCTTTCGATTTTCGTGAGTAGTCAATACGACTCCTAGGGAGCTGTATTTATAGGTATTGAAACCCTAGAAGGCATGAAACATGCCCCCATAGGCCGGCCCCAGAAACCCTAGGGTGACGGCTTGCTCTCCAAGCAAGCCGTTTCCTGATCCTTCTAGAATATCCCGACTTGTCCTCAACGAAGTCAACGGCGATCAACCATTTGACCGGAGCGGTCAAACCGGCTTGACCCGAACTCGTTAAAAATAAAAGCTCCTCAGCTCCCAGCGACCGATGCGTCGTGCGAAGTGCAAAGTGCGACTAAATCGCGCCATTTCGCGCACTCGCGGCGTCGGCTAGTGCTACGCTAGGCTAGGCGCACGCGTGGGCTTGGCCCATTCCTTGATCCACTAAAAGCCTTTAAAGGCCTATCAAGGGATTAGGCATATAAACCCACTAAAATTTTCTTCCCCCACCAATGTGGGATAGAGGAAACTTGCCAACTTGCAATTTTCCACTATAATTTCCAACAATCCCCCACCAAGTTGGAAAGTTTCCTTTCACTCAGACATATGATGTCACTTGGGTGTCACGAAGATTAAACCCTAGTTTAATGAGAACAAACAAGAAGAGAGCGATTCATGATAGAAGATCCTTAATATGGATTATAAACCATGATAAAGACCTTCAATTCGCACCACCTCTCAACAGTTTTACAACCTTCCTTAGATGTCTCCAAAACTTTGTTAAGAGTCGTAACTCAACCTCGTTCTGAGTAATTAGGAGCACTAATGTCAAGTTAGGTTTCCATCACTAAACGATTCTATTGTAGTTTTAGACCCATGACTCTCGTGGTAGTTGTAACCAAATCTCTCGTCAGAGGTTTGGTAAACGGATCGGCCAAGTTTCTACTTGTCTTGACATAGACAACCTTGATGGTACCACTTTCAATTAGTTGTCTCACAAAATTGTGTCGTAGACCGACATGTCTCGACTTCCCATTGTATACCGCATTATATACTTTAGACAGTGTGGCCTCACTGTCACAATACATGGGTATTGAAGGCATTGGAGTATCCCACAGGCGAATATCCATAAGTAGATCTTGAATCCACTCTGCCTCTTTGCCCGCTGCTGCTAAGGCAATTAGCTCTGCTTCCATCGTTGAATGAGCTATGCATGTCTGTTTCTTGCTCGCCCAAGAAATAGCACCACCAGCTAGAGTATAAACCCAACCACTTGTTGATTTTGAATCACTAGTGTGATCAATCCAGCTGGCATCAGAATAACCTTCAAGTATTCCATTAGATGATGAATACGTCAACTCAAAAGTACTTGTCCTTTTCAGGTATCCTACTACTCTACCCACTGCCTTCCAGTGCCCCATCCCTGGATTAACAGTACACTGACTCAATTTGCTTACAACGAATGCGATATCAGGTCGTGTGCAGTGAGTAGCATACATCATGCTTCCAACTGCACTAGCATATTCTATTTGAGCCACTGCTCGACCAGAATTCACCTTTAGTTTCACACTTGAATCAAAAGGAGTGTTGAATTCTTTAATGTTCAAATGTTGAAACTTTGTCAGAATTTTCTCTATGTAATGAGATTGACTCAGAGAAATCTGACCACCTGTCCTTTTCACCTTGATACCAAGAATTGTATAAACTTCTCCAAGATCTTTCATCTTAAAGTTTGAGGATAGGTATTTCTTCGTCTCAAGAATACCTTCTAGGTGAGTGCCAATGATCAGCATATCATCAACATAAAGACATATAACTACTATGTAATCAAATGCATATTTGGAATAAATACATCTGTCAGCATTGTTGTGCTGAAAACCAAAGGCAGTCACAGTGGTGTCAAATCTCTCATGCCACTGTTTGGGAGCTTGCTTCAACTCATACAAGGATTTAACAAGTCTACACACTTTGTTTTCTTGTCCAGGTATTACGAAACCTTCAGGTTGCTCCAAGTAAATCTCCTCCTTGAGATAACCATTCAGAAAGGTTGTCTTCACATCCATTTGATGAATGTACAATCCTTTCAAGGATGATATTGCTATGATAGTTCTAATTGAACTAATCCTAGCAACCCGGGGCATAGGTATCAAAATAATCGATCCCTTCTCGCTGCCTATAGCCCTTTGCAACCAATCTTGCTTTATAGGCGGATATGGATCCATCTGGATGATATTTCCTCTTGAATATCCATTTGGATCCTATGGGTCTTCTCCCCTTTGGTAGATCAGCTAACTCCCAAGTTCCATTACCCATAATTGAATCCATTTCATCATTGATAGCTTCCTTCCACAAATGAGCATCTCGAGACGTCATAGCTTCAGTAAAAGTCTTAGGATCATCATCCAATTTAATGGAAAATATGACCTCTTTCGTCACTTTCTTTTGCGTTCCTTCGACCAAATAAGAATAGAAATCATCTCCAAAACTTTTCTCTATTCTATCCCTAGTAATTCTCCTTGGTTCCTCCATAATAGGAGGAGGTGGGAGTATTTCTAGAGAAGTATTGTAGGTGTTGTATGACTAGAGTTTTCTTCATCCCTAGAAAACTTGTCCTCAAAGAATTCCACATCTTTGGATTCCACAACAACACCCGAATCAATATCCAATAACCGGTAAGCCTTGCTATTTTGAGCATATCCAATGAATATACTCTTATTAGCTCGTGCTCCCAATTTGGTTCGCTTAGGATCGGGAGTCCGATAATAAGCAACACACCCCCACACTTTCAAATAGTCTAGGTTAGGCTTTCTACCTTTCCACAACTCATAAGGGCTTATAGGAATCACACGACTAGTGATCCTATTATGAACATAGCAAGCAGTCAATAGTGCTTCCCCCCACAGATTGTTTGGTTGACCCGATTGGTTCAACATACAGTTGACCATCTCACAAAGGGTTCGGTTCTTTCTTTCATCCAAACCATTCTGTCGGGGAGTGTATGGTGAAGTTCTCTCATGTTTGATTCCATTCTCTTCGCAGAATGTGTCAAACTCTTGGTTGAAATATTCTCCGCCTCTATCCGAGCGAAGAATTTTGATGTGCCTTTCAAGTTGATTTTCAACCTCAGCCTTACATCGCTTAAATGCATCAAAAGCTTCATCTTTTGATCTCAGCAAATAAACATGTAGATATCGACTGGAGTCATCACAAAATGTGATGAAATACCTTTTTCCTCCTCGAGTAAGGATTCCATTTAACTCACATATATCAGAATGAATCAACTCAAGTAATGATGTGTTTCTCTTAACTGATGGAAATGGTTTCTTAGTGAACTTTGATTTCACACATGTTTCACATTTTTCAAAATCTTTTGTGTTATATTTTAACATTTCTTTAGTTTGCATTTTTTCAATATTTTTAATATTAGTGTGAGCTAAACGTTTATGCCATAAAGATATTGAACAAATAAAATAACCAGAAAAGTTCACTTCATTCACATTAGCAACCAATCCACCAATTACATCATTACCAACACTTGACACACTAGCAACACTAGAACTACCATTCTCAACACTAGGACCACTCATATTACCCTCATCACTAAGGCACAAGCGATACATCCCCGAACAATTGTTCGCCCTCCCAACATATTTTCGGCCTTTAGTGATCACAATCTTGCCTTTCTCAAGCACCATCTTGAACCCACCCTTGTCAAACTTGTCCGCAGAAACCAACCCCTTCGAGATAGTAGGAACATAAAGAACATCTTGAAGGGTTACCCATTCACCACGTGTGAACTTCAACCGAACATCACCTCTTCCTTGAACTTCAGCTCTGTGTCCATCAACACAGACGACGAACGTCCTATGTGGCATTGGGTGGTAAGTGCGGAAGCTTTCTCGTTGCCCACAAACATGCACAGTGGCTCCAGTGTCCACGAACCATCCTTGAGCACAGATTGCTCGAGTAAGGGAGGAGATCATGAAAATCTCTCCAAGGTTCACACTTTCCACCATGTTAGTCACCTGATCGACTCCATGTGCAACCGGTCCTGATTTACGATCTTTGCATTCTCTCGTATAGTGCCCAATCTCTCCGCAGACGTGGAAAGGTCCGACCCTCTTTGGCTTTGAGTTAGGATTCTGATGACTCGGTTTCTTGAAGCTTTGTTTCTCGGGTCCGAAGTTATTCTTGTTCTGTCCCCCAGACTTGCCTTTGTGACTAGAACCCCCAGCTGACACATGATGCACACTCGATCCAACTTTACCACTCTTGTCCCTGATGCGAGTTTCCTCCTCAATGCGGAGGTGTTTCATCAGATCATCCAAGGAGTAGTCCTCAGACTTATGCATCATTCTCTTACAGAAATCTTTCAACGAGGGTGGCAATTTTGTGATGATTGCACCAACCTGAAAGAGTTCTGGAATAGAGATGGAGAGTGCATTCAACTTGTTGACCATGACTTGGAGTTCATGAACTTGCTCCAATGTTGATTTGTCATCATCCATTTGAAACTCTAGGTACTTAGACACAAGGTACTTGTTAGTACCTTCCTCATGTGCCTTGTACTTAAG